AAATTAAAGTGATTGGGTCTCTCTAGGTGAGAGTGTTTAATGTGAGTTTTTAGCGTAATCCCCCTTAATGAGGATTAAGGGAGGTATTTATAACCTTGGAAACGTGCCCATCCTAGGTTTAGGTTAACCTAGGGCTGATTGGGCTTCCCTCGGAAGTTGGGCCTGGGTGGCCGGTTTCTCCATTAGGCATGGAGTATGCCACGTGTCATGACATAATAGGTCCAAGGTGGACGAATAAGCGTGTGCCACGTGGCAAGCCTTGACAGTTCCAACTGGGGGACACTTGGCAGGACCTGATTGGCCCACGTGGCGCATTCTGATTGGTGGGAGCAAAATCCCCTAATCAACTGCCAAGACTGTTAGACCGGCTTGGGGTTGTCGTATTGTTTTACAGGGTTTTCAAACCCTTTGTCATGGTTTGGTGTGGAAGGTGGGGTCTGGTACCAACATTAGTATTCTTGATGATAGTTGGGTGCCTGGGGTTCAGGTTCAGTTTAAGGATTCCGTGAACAGGATGAGTGTCCCATCCTTTGTTTCTGATCTAATTAATGTGCGTTCGAACACATGGAAAACAAATGTGATTCATTGGTTGTTTCCTCCTCGTACAGCTGGCCTAATTTTAGGCCTTTAACGGCCTAAGGAGAAAATAGATGATTTTGTTTATTGGAAATTTACTAGGGACGGGATGTTCTTCACAAAGACTGCGTATGTGTGCTCCTTGTGTTATGAGAATGGTGATCAAAGATCACCTTTAGTTCTAGACTCAAGTTGGTGGAAGCATTTTTAGGCTTCACCTTTACTTCCAAAGTGGAAAATGTTTGCTTGGAAGATTATTTATAATGCGTTGCCTTCTGCTTCGTTGCTTGCTCGGAAGGGTTTGCCTGTGGATTCTAGATGTGGGTTTTGTCTTCAGGATGTGGAGACTCTTTCTTATCTTTTTCGAGATTGTCCTTTTATTTGGAGTTTATGAGAGAATCGTCCTTGTGGATCGGCCTTGAATATGTCCCAAGATCAGCTTTTAGAAGAGTGGTTTCCTGAGATTCTTTCTAGGTTTCTTCATGATGAGGACTGGTTGATGTTAGATCGTTTTTTTAGTTTGTTATGGGCCCTCTAGCTTACTCGAAACTCTATGAGGTTTCGTTCTGCAGTTTATTCTCTTGAATCTATTATGGATCTAGCTTCTAGCTGGGTAGACAAGTGTTTCGAGGCTAGGTCATTCAGATATGATATTATGCCTGCCTTTCCTCCTAGGTTTTCTTGTACTGTATCTTCTACAGTTTTTCGAGGGAATGTGTCGGATGCTTGCTCTGTCAGCCTTACTTTTGACGGGGCTTAGAGTTCTGGTAGTCATAATGCGGGTACTGGATGGGTATTTTGGGATCTGGCTTCTGATGTTCAACTCGGGGTGGGGTGCAGGCTTGTAACTATAATTCTGCGTTACAGTCTGAATTGATGGCTTGTCTGTTTGCTTTACGTTATGCCAGGTAGTGTGGGTATTCCTCTTTACAGATTCCTACTGTTTGTTCTTCGGTGGTGGATCTGCTTCGGTTTCAATTTCCCAAGGATATTTTTGTAAGTTGGATTCAACAGGAGATTTTGGAAGTTATTGGTGCTTTGGTTGTGTGTCATATTCAGAAGGTTCCAAGGTCTACGGTTGCTTAAGCTCACTGTTTGGCAGAAAAGGCGCGTCGCCGTGATTTACTTTGTTTCCGTTTTTAGTTTTTTGTTGTTTGTTTGTTTGTAAGTTCTTTTGTAAAAAAAAAAAAAAAAAAAAAAAAAAAAAAAAAAAAAAAAAAAAAAAAAAAAAAAAACCTCCTGAATTGATTTGGAAGACTCTGCTCAAATCCAGCGCATGACTTGGGGCCGCCTCTTCCCCAATGCCGACTTTGCCTCATGGAAAAAAAAAACCTCCTGAATTGATTTCTCAAATCTATATTATAATTACAGAGTCAGTTGATGATTTCTCCAAAACCCCAGTCCTCAATTCTCATGCACTCTCCTTTTTTTTAATTTTTTTTGGACAATATCCTCCCAATAACTTCCACTTCTTTCCTTAAAAAAAATAAAAAATAAAAAAAAACACTTCCACTTCTACTATTTTTTAATTTTTTATTTTTTTAATTATTATTTTTCCTAATGACCCACATACTATCCATTTTAATTAATATTAATTAACAAAAAATTACCAATTTTATTAATATTCTAAGTATCAAAACAAAAATAGCACGTTTTCTACGCGTGACCGATTGGAACACAAAAAACACTAACCCGATAACTTCTGGCCGAGCTGAGTAATCCCTACCCGACCAAATATCCCCTGACTGATTAACCCTTGATTGACCGGGTAACACCTAACAGACCGAGTAACCCCAAACCGAGTAACCTCCGATCGAGTAACCTTTGACATATCGTGTAACCCCTGACTGACCGAGTAACTCCTAAACAAATAACCCGGCCACACGATGTGGCCAACCACATATGAACATTAACGGAGTAACCCTTATAACACCAACGGGGTTACCTCACACTGATTGGATGAAACCTATAAAACAAATAAAGTAACTCCCGGAAGAGATGGACACACGGTGTTATAATAGTTAGTTACCCTATCAAAATCAACTTTTCGTATTTGAAAAACAATTTGTTATTAGATTTTTTTTAATATCATTTTGTAAAATATATATCCCGTGCATTTGCACGGGTACACTCTAGTCTAATATATAATTGCAGAGTCGTTTTCACCACAACTCTCCAAATCCCCAATCCTCAAATCTCATGCATTTTTTTTTAACTAGTAACTACCATTCCATTACTTTATTTATTTGTTTTTTAAACAAAAAAAAAAATTGTATTTTCTTCAAGGGATTGCAATAACTAATATTAACAATTCATTTTTTCTTAAACACTACTAGCATTTCACTTTGTGTTATTTTCTTTCTTGTATAATATGTGTCGTTTATTAGCACGGCTGCACGGATATACAATTCCTTTATCAACAATTAACTATGGAACTCAAAATCCCCAACCCTTCAATTCAAACAACTTCCACTTCTCTAATCATCAAAACAAAAATATGTACAACACGCTTAGCTTTTTGCGTAACTAGCCTCATCGAATAGTTGCTTGCAAAAGAACAAAGTAACCCCTCCTATAGCACTGATGGATCAACCCCTATGACACTAATCGAGTAACCCCTATAACACTGAACGAGTAACCTCTACAGCTTTGACAAAGTAACTCCCATAATAGCTTGACACATTTGCATGGCCAACCACATATAAGAGTAAGGTTTTGTTCTTTTGAGTTTATGAGTAGAATAGAGCACATCAGATTGCAAAAGAGTAGAGCATGTGACAGTATAGTATGTAGAACATATACCAGATTTTAGCAGAGTAGAGCAAGAGCAGACCATAAATAGTTCAAAATAACAAGCCTAAGTTACTACATCTAAATCAACTTCCCGTATTTGAAATATATTTATTCTTATATTATATAATTAAAACCTTTCTAATATAATATATATATCCCGTGTATTTTGCACGGATACACTCTAATATTTTTAAATTTTGAGATAACTTCTAAGATCTCCCGTAATAATATGCACGTGATTGGTATACCAAGATGGCTCATAAGTTAGCAGACAAATTTTATATTATAACAATTATTTTGCAAAAAGTATTGGCATGAATTAACTACGTTGCATTGTTGCCCCTTATCATACAATGTACTACATATCAAATATGTTATGTTGAGCAATCAAGCAAGCTCAAATAATTGTTACTTGTATCTGATAAACTAAGACAAATTATTTTTACTTATATGGAGTTGATTACTAAATCTCCTCTAGTAGAAATTATTTTAATACTACCTCCAATTCTTATTATGGTATTTGCAATAAAGGAGTTTTTTGTATTAACAAATAACCCTATTGTTGCAAATAATAAGAAACATAGGTAGCATAATTTTTTTCAAAAATAAATAATTTAAGGCGAACTAAATTTAAATAACACGGTAAAACTTAGTGACAATTTAGTTACCATCCATGCATTTGAATTCGACTCAACTTGTCATGTCATGTCACCCCTCCAATCCAATCACTTCTTGACCCCAATAACTCATCGTTAGCTCACCGACGAATGTCATGCACGCTCTATATCAAAGTTTAATCAAGATATGCTAATAAACCGACAAATGTCATGCAAGTTCTTTTCAAGCTTATTAAACGAGACATCATGTATGGTTTCCCGGGCGCCCGTGGCCACACACATCCATTGATGAGCAACAACACAGTCTCCCATGAAATTAAGTGCTAAGCATATCTCCTCCCCTATCCCCACCCCCACTCTCACCCCCCTTCACTTCAGACCATTCCTTGCCCTCTAAAAAAAGGCATATAAAAAAAAATGGGCCATAGTACTCAAATTGTGGTCATTGGAAAGATGAATAATCTCTTCTAGTACACAGCAACAACAACTACTATTTAAAGTGAGTCAAAACTATCCCATGTATCACCGACAGTGCTATTAATTCTGATAATTGTTGAGTGATAAAGACTTTTCAACACCGTCGGTTATCTGACACTGACCAATTTTCATTTTCCCTTCATTATGATTTATATAATTCTCCTAATTTTATTATATGGTGAAGTATTAGCATCTATCAAGCCACCCTTCTTAATCATGATTATGTTTTCTCATTATCAATAGTGTAGATTGTGAATTGCCTCTAAAGGAATGTAACTTCTAAAGAGGATGAAAATCATTACTCAGTCATCATGACAGAATAGTCCTGGTGAACCACCTATCAAATGATCGAAAATGATAATCGTCGTGCATAAGACAATTAAAATGTCTTGGCTATCGCGACATTCCACATTAGAAGGGAGATATAATATAGTAGAGATTGTGAATTGTCTTTGAAGGAATGCAGCTATTGAAGAAGATATAACTCGGTCATCATAAAAGAACAAACAGCAATAAAGAATAATTAATCAGAATAACTTCATAGGTAAAAAAGAACTTCATTTCAGAAATTTCCTGCCTGACAAACTAACTGTAAAAAGAATTTGAAAGTAAAAAAAAGAGGATCAATACAATGGGAAAGTAAAACAGACTCATACTAAGTATTACCTAATGACCTTGTAAACTAAATAAAAATTAGCTACATCTAAACATCTTAGGTCTACAAACTCTGTATTTGCTGATCTCTCAGTTTCTCTTTCCCCCCTTATCTTAATCTCGACTAATTTTAGGCTAAAAATTAGCTACACCTACACATCTATTGCTGCTATTTTTTATAACACCGCCCCCCTCTGCACAAAAAAACCAATGAACCAAGATATATGTAGCAATAATAATTGAGAAACAATAACAAATGACACTCAAATGCGACGCTGGCAGGAGAACGCAACCATTCCAGCAAGCAAATAACGCTGTGATCTCTACCTCCTTGATCAGATATATGCTGGGGGGAGACCGCTTTTTGGTATAAACTCATGCTCCTGGGAGATTTTTGCAGGATTCTCATCAGGGGTCTTGGTCCTCATCTCAAGGACTTTCTTGTGAGAATTAGAGTGCAAGGATGGGACGAAAGTTGGGCTTGCTGCAGGGCGATACTCAGGGTACAGACGACCTGATTTGTAACGGACGCCACATGCATTGCAAAGGGTTTTTGGCCCCATTGGCCCAGCTCTCCATTGTGGTGTTTTTGCAATCTCGCAATGCATGCACTTCCTTAATGCCTGTGATGTGGTGTTAGCATTAGGATTATCATTTTGATTGTGACTTATTCTGCCTGAGGGAGGTAGAATCTTGATCTTCTTTTTCTTCTTTAGGGGACGAGAGTCAGCAAAATTCTCTGACTTAGACAACGAAGCACTGGGGGCAAACAATAGCCGAGGTGTTTTGGAAATGGAGGGTGTCGGTGAAATGAGGTGAGCACGAGGGTTGAAAGTAGCAGGACGAGGTCGCTTGCTGCGAGCACGTTTTTCATGACTGACAGGGAGAGTTTTTCCTCTAGAGCAAGTGCTGCTGCTCTCAAGGACCGAAACAGGACTGGAAGTTTGGAACTGATTACGGGAGGGGTCCTTAGTATATGAAGTAGACTGACTTTTTTCGACTGTCAGGCCTGAACCAGCAAAGGAATCTTCAACAAAGTTCGACAGCCACTCAAGCTGAACAATGTCCTCATACTGCATCGTAAGTAAATAAACCATTAGTTTTACAATTAGAGATAACACTACAAAAATTGACAAGAACTGCAATTGCAAATTGAACCCATGAAGCCATGATGCATCAGCAATTAAAAAAAAAAAAAAATACGACAAACTTAAAAAAGTGAGTTAGCAGAAACGCAAAGCCAATGATTGCTTAAATTATACCGTAGATATTAAACACTGAATTACAACTTTACCAACATACAAAACAGAACTTAGTAATGTAATCAAGCAAACAAGCAGTGTAAATTTCTGATGTCCTACCTCAATTAGTTATCTTATTAATATTTGGTTACAAGAATATTGGTTAACTTTTTTCTTTTTTGAAAGATTGGTTGTTTAACTTTTTAGACAATTAGCTGGATTTCCTAAGGTGAATCCACATGGGAGCTGGTGAAGACCAGGGCCCCCACAGCCCAACCTTACAACCCAATAATTTTCGTAGCATATAGGAAAATGTTAAAAACTTAAAAACAAATATCTACTCTGCCGATAAAATAATATACTCCGTAATATACATACAACTTTGTTCCAAATGGCAATACTTAGGAGCAAACCTTGCTCCAACACTTCAAACCTATGCCTTACATAAATCTATTTATTTGATTCTCAATTGACAACAACCTTCAACTACTCCCTCAATCTCTAAATATTGTTCTATTCTAGACTATTTAGTGACACAACCACCATCAAACTAGAAACAACTATAACAACTAGAGTATCTTTCTTAAAAAGAAAACATTTCTTTTTCCTGTCCATTGTCAATCAGCAATTTTGTGTTTCCTACTTTCCTTCCATCTTTTCAAATTAAGAATGGAACCAAAAGAAAAGATATCCCATACATTAGTGTTATATTCTACAATGCAAACTACTGCCTCCATTTCGTATTAGTTGCAACCATGGAATATTTTATATCTCACAAATAATACCCCAAAGTTGCAACTAATAAGAAACGGAGGTAGTACAATTTTATGTGATTTTTTTACGTGAAAGTAGTAACCTTTACTTATGCACCTACTTATGGACTAGTATTAACGGGTCATGATCACAACTAACTTAATAATTATCAATATATTTATTTTCCACTGTCATAAACATAACATATCCCTTTTCTTTATTCTCTAATTCAATGATGAGTTTAAGTGATAAATGTGTTCATGTTACCATGTTATATTCCCCACGTCTTTAAGTAATTTCGTGGCGGCAAAGTTGTGGCAAAGTTGCCAGTATAATTATTTAAAATTTTAATAAGAATCAAAAAATACAAATTGCCAGCTGGCATCATAACCCTTTGATGTGAAATACTGTAGTAAACAAAAACAAAACACCACTAAATGACAGCTAAATTGAAAATAATGTTGTCGGTGGAATAGCACCTCACATGATGTACAATATTATAATTTCAAAATATCCTCCTACCACGTGATTATACTAAATACACTAACCATTGTCAATTTAATTATATTTTATATAATTCAAAGTTAAGGTTCAATAATTAATCTTAATACGAGTATTTATAAAATAATGTAATTCATACAAAATCACATAAAGAATAAATATATATATTTTTAGAGGATGGGATTGTAAAAATAAATATATATTTTTTTTTCATTACTTACCTTAACCATTCATCTATAATTTAAATGATGTGATTGTTGATGAAATAAGTTAGATGATGGGATTGAGGTTAAATGTTATTAAGTATAAATTATATATTATTCTGTAAATATTAATATAAATTACATTTTATTTTGTAAACATAAATAAATGATGCACTTCAGTAAAAAAATATATATATTACCCCATTACATATTATTTGCAACTATTAGACATTTTTCCTCTACTATATGTCAAATCGTTGCAAATAATATGTAATGGAAGGTAGTATAAATATATATATTTCGTATGTAGAGTAATATTATGTAAAATTTAAAAATTAGTTTTACACTTTTATTAAGTGAATTATTCCAATAATACAGAGTACAAGTCCATGAATTTTCTATGAAAACCCCCGAATGTGCAATATATTTTACTATAGCGCGGAAAGTAACGAAATACAGTAATTAAAAAAAATATTATACTCCGTGATAAAAAAAAGGTTAATTATGAAAAATTAAAAGTATAAAAATTTGTGAGAGAAGGGACACTCACAGGAACAGAGAGTTCAGCGGAGAGGTCAGACGCTGTGTTACTGTGGGAGGCGGAGAAAACCGGTGAATTGTCCGACCAAAAAACCGGCGGAAAATTATTGTACTGGTTCATTGCAACACCATTATCACCCAAACCTTTCTCAACGTCGTCGTTTGGGAACTCAAGAAGGTCATCAATTTGGTCGAAGAAATTTCCACTGTCAATTTCTTCCATCATTGTAATCCCGCTCATTTTTTTTTATTTAATTATTTATTTATTCTTTTTCTCCTTCGTCTTTAGTTTCTCTTGCTATTCTTCTGTAAAATTCAAAATAAATGTGAAATTTAATGTTAGTAGCAGTTTATTTTTATTAAAGTTTACGAAAAAACATAAATAAAGCAAATTCTAAAGTGGAGGAAGTACTAATGTAGGTTTGATATGTATGTGCAAATACATATCAAACATTAAAATATTGAAAAGTATTGTAAAGCACATGGGGGTGGGAGAAAAGGAGGAGAGAGATGAGCACGTGGGACCAGTTTTAACTGTACCACTGAAAGCTTATATATTTTCATTAATTATGTAGTGATACTATTTCTACACGTAGTTAGTACCACTGAATGAATATACAGTACCATTAAATGAATATATAGTACCACTAAATGTTCAATGATACTATTTGATCATCTAGTGATACTATTAATCACCTAGTGGTACACTTAAATTCAGCACATGGGGTGACAGAAAGGAGGAGAGAGATGGGTAAATTTCATGCGAAATGTCTCTTATACCCCTTAATATGTATGTCCAGGTACCTATCAAACCTTCTTTTTGAAAGGCCTCTCTAAAGTGCGCCATATACGTTTACTGAACCAATGAGATTGGCGTTAGTGACGTATAAGTAGCCAATGAAATTAATCATTTCGTCCAGCGTGTCACCACTAGTGGCGCACGTTAGTCATTTTGGATTTTTTCTTTTAAATTTTTAATTGGAAAAGTAATAAAATAAAATAAATAAAAAAAATAAAAATAAAAAAAATAAAAAACAAAGACAAAAAAAATTCCCCGTTTAGACATGTTCACTCGTCTGCAATGTTGACTCTTAAACCCGGCACATGACTCCTTCAGTTCCTGATTATTTGCTCATTCACTCAATAATACATTTTCAAATAATATATGGAACCGTTTTACAAAACTCAAATGCAGTGTTTTTCTTCTTAATGAACAAAATTAATGGATTGTTAGTCTTTAAAAACCGACACAACAATTAAAAACCGAGGGAGTATGTAATTCATTTAATCAAATGGTTATGGAAAAATAAAAACCGACAATTAAAAAGAAGAGTACATATAACGTGAGACAAAAGAGGGAAAATGCACGCTAAGACCAAGCTGGTCCCGCGTTAACATCTTTATACGGACTACATTTTCTTTTTCGCTGTCTCTTAATATTCCAACCTCTATTTTCAAAAAAAAAATTCAAAATTCAGAAATTCAACAGTTTTATTTAAAAAAAATAAAAAATTAATCAGTACTCGTAGCATTTTATTCCAAAAATTAAAAAGAGAAGAAAAATTTTGCGAACCTTTATGAATTTGTTTGTCTTCTTAGCAAAATTGCAGCTAAAGCACCTCAAATTGAATAAAATTCCTGCAAAAATAAGAAAAGAATTAACAAATTAATTTAAGTAATTAGAATAAAAAAAAAACAACAATGTAGTAATGTCCTAGAAATTGGAAAAATACCCCAATTTTGGGCAATGAATTTGCAAATTGTCGACAATTATTTTGAAAATTTGAATATAGAAAACAATGGGTGTCAAATTCACCGACAGTATTGCAAATGTAAATTAAAAATTCAAAACTCTAAACTCGAAAATATGAATTTGAATTAAAAATGAAATTAAAATTACTGACCTTATGAAGTTGTGGAGTTGTAGTAATGAGAGAGAAGTAGTATTAATAGTTTAGAGAAGAGAGAGAAAAGAGAGAATGAGGATTGTAAAGAAAAAGGTACGGAGTTGAAGTAAAATAGATGAAAGAAAATAAAAAGAAAGGAAGTAAGGTAGAGGTAGAGGGAGTGCAGTGGGGAAAAGGGAAGGTAGGTGTGTTCCTTCCTTTCTACTCAAAATACGAGTGAGTTGATATAATTGCTAGCTGTATGTTTTTTTACGGACTAGTACCAATTTGCATTCACCTCTCTTCTAAGTTGTCTTGATGTTGAAGTCTCTTTTTTTATTTTATTTTTTAAAATCAATATAAATTTTATTTTATATAATATCTCCGGTTCAATTTAGTCGCAACAAAGAGGTATTATTTGTGAGATATAAAATATTCCTTTGTTGCGAGTAAATTGGACCGGAGGTAGTACTTTCTCGTTATATTTTGTTTGCAATAGTTTGACTTTTACGCTTGTTGTTGTTTAATACAGCCATAAATACAAGTATTTTTTATAACTCGTATTTTATGTTATATATCAATCACTAAAATGTCTATATAGAAATATGATATATAAACACAAACTTTTATACGCTTGGTCAGCCATCATAGAGAATTCGGTTTGTGTTAAGATAATTATAATAAGGGGTTAATATGTCAATATAATTAGGCTACTCTAAAATTGCTGTTGAGGTTAATTTGTTTTATATAAGCAGTCACACGGTCTAACCAGCTTCACGGGAAACACACACAAAAGTCGAATCGTCATACTTTCTTAGTCTCATAATACACGACATGGTCAAACATTGTTCACATATCAATGCACTAATTTGACTTTATTTTAATACAGTTAAATATTAATGAAAATTATTAAATTATATTATGAAACTTTATATTAAAACATTTTTAACAACATATTTATAATAAAATATATTTTTTTTATGTTAATAAAAAAATTATATTCAAAATTAATACAAGAATAATGAAAAATAGTCCAATATCTCACGTATTATAAGACGGAAGGAGTACATGATAAGTGAAATAAGATACAAAAAGTACTCCGTCAATGAATGTAGTATTGTAGATTTGTAATACTCCACTTAAAAGTTCAACAAAAAATAAAATAGTTTTTGTTTTTTAAAAAAAGAAATTATTGATAAATTAGTTCCAACCGGATCACATGAACATGGGAAAAGAAGGCAGATGCAGATCCAGTAGGGGTCCCACAGCCCATGCGACCCTCACCCCACCGCACTTCTCTTCTGATTTTGGTTCAAACAAACAATTGTCACCGTCAACGGTTGTGAAAATGGCGTTTTTATATTTGTTGCAAGTTTTAAGTTAAAACGTTAAACCGTGTGTTATTGCTACCATAACGAAACTGAACGTCTGAACTTACGTTTAAGTCAATATTAGGGTCCAATTATCTATATTGGGTTGAGTAAATTTTAGATTGTATTTAAGTCACTTAGAGACTCGATGAACCGACATTTATGTTTATGATGATAGCCTTAGGGCTGGTAAACCCTGACCCGACACGAAACCCGACCCGAACCCGACCCGAAGTTACTGAGAGAGACCCGAACCCGACTTGAACCGAACCCGAACAACCCGAATTCGACCCGATTTGATCCAAATTTCATATTTCGTAATAATATTAAGTTTTACACTATTTTTAATAGTTTCTAAGCATAACCCGAAATCGACCCGAAATCTAACCCGAACCCGACCTGCTGACCCGAATTGCCACCCCTAGATAGCCTTGATAGGGGTTTTACCATTTCTATTGTTCTATATTGTACATTAAAGATGTTTCATGTTATCTCTCGATATACTCACTCCGTCACTCGTAATAATACTGTTATACTATTAAGTAATTGTAGACACCTAAAAATGTCTCCCCAAAACCAAACCCGATGATGAGCAACCTTTCACCGCCATTATTGGTCGGGTTGAGTATATAATCTTTGGAGTGCTTAAATCCATGTTCATTCCCAATACAATTCCTAGCCCATTTCCCCAAACGATAACTTATTTTCCTCTTTTCGTGTATTTAAACCCAAAATAATTCATTTCGTGTCCTTTAAAATCATTCATTTCGTGTCCTTTTTATAAAAACGTTTAATCCAGTTTATTTTGGTCCATAATCTGGGTCCAATGATTGAATAGTTGGAAGGGGTTTGAAAAGATCTTTCCAACGATATATTATAAGCCCAAATCCGAGTTATAACGAATAAGTTATGGCCAAAATATTAAATTGAGCCTAAACCGAACCTAAGCCCACCTTACCTACGACTCAATGATCATGTGGGGGGTCCAAATTATTTAATCCCATTCCTAAACCAATTAGGATTAATTAGAAGCTTCTATAAGTTTCTAGAAGATCCTAATTATCCTTTTTGAAAAGATAAGATTAAAGAGTTTGAAATTGAATAAAACTTTTCTTTTTGAAAATCCTATTTTTATTCGAATTGAAAGACATTCAAAGATAGACAGATATTATTTTCGTGCCTCATATTTTTTATCCAAATTTTATATGGTTGGATATCCCTTGAAATTATCTTTCCAATGATATATTATAATATCAATTCCGAGCTATAACGGAAAAGATATGAATAAAATATCAAACTCTATCCAAAACTGACACCGTCTCACTATTTCGGCTATATCTTTTGTTATACAAAATATTTTAATCTGATTCTAATTGAGTTAGAAAGTAGATTTCAAGAGCTTTCCAACGATATCTTATTTTTCTTATTCCTATTTCTGGATCAATAGATATAATAAAAATAAAAACCGCAAAAACTGCTGTCTTTCGCAAGAGTTTTATCCGATTCGAATTCTTATCTTTTCTTGATTCTTCGACCCTCTTTTTTCCCTATAAATAGAGGTCATATCACCCATTTTTCAATCATCAACAAGCTTGATCATCAAATCCTTCTCTCTTCCTCTCTTTTACACCAAAATTCTTCTCTCTCTCTCTCTTATATTCTAAGCCTTAAACCTATATTCCTAATTACACCATTCTTCCCTTAAATACTCCAAGGAGTCTATACTAAACCCAAGGTTCCGTCCTTAAACTAAGGCATGAAAGGTATAAATAACTGAGGGTTTGGACCAAATCAACTCTACTTTTTATTTAATTTAATTTAATTTTCATTTGCTTTATATTTTTATTAAAGTTACTAACAGTATATTCATGATGTAGCAATTTAAAGGAACGCGCAGAATGTGAGTAATTAATTAATTTAATTACTCTTATTTTATTTAAATATTGCTAGCATCATGATTAGGTTATTTTATATTTGATTCGACTGACGATATTATTGTTAAATTGCTTCCAATATTAATGTTTATTCTATTATTTATTGATCACCATATTGCATGTTTAAAGGGAATATGTAATTGAAAATCACGCCTAATAAGATAATTTGGACGACCGGTTTAGGTTCCTTTTTAATCTTATTGTTTAATCAAGTGGTCACAATATTTTAGAATAATGTGTTGCATTAATATTAAACCAATTTAGCATAATAATAGTTTGGAGCGAATTGAATATTTTGTTTGTATGCCTTTGAGATCGTAGGAATCACTTTTCACTATAAGAATCGAGTAGAGGCCAATACGGGCGAATGTGACTCCATGATTCACTTCGTACCATCATCCCCGATCCTCCTTTCGTGGTTCCGAACCATATGGAGTTAGTAATCTCATGGATTATGAATGGGGTGTAACCTTCACGGGTCAATCGTTGTTGTCTATCGTTGTCCCTTTATCGTGGTTGCCTTTTATGATCAGTGAACGGTTTACAAGTTCCTTAAAAACTTGTTGGCGGCTCCCTACTTTCCTTGTCCCTAATCGTATATGTCAATTCCCACTTCCTATGAGTGCCAAGCATATTCACACATGCTTAGCGTAGGCGCACTTCGAACGACGCCTACAGCAATAAAACAGAAATTACTTATCTCTTGATTTGTGAACCAAAGTGACAATAGCCGCGTCGTGGAGAACCACTGACCTAAAAGACGATTCCGCGCTACCTCCCGGTGCAGTAGACTAGAAGCGGTCGCCCTCCAGGATAAACACGGCGCCGGAGTTTGTGTGCACTCACAAACCCGACTGGAACTCAGAATACTTGCCTAGAAAACAAAACAGAAAGAACTCGTGTTTAGATAATTTTAGAGAAGAGAGATGACTGATTGTGTTGTGTGTTTGTGACCGGGAAAAGCAATGAGTATATATAGGCAGTAGAAGGGAGACATGAAATGTAAAACGAGGGACGAATCTGGCTAAGAAAACGACCAGATTCATTCAACCAGTCAACAACGGAAGCATGAGACAAGGAATTAATCAGTCAGCTACAATCAAGGGATTAATGACTGATTTAATTCCGTAACTCCAACAGTCAGAAAAGAATAATCCCAACAGACAAAAAAGAATATTATATTTAACAAAGAAAGGGAAATAAAATTTCTCCAAAAGGATAACAAGGACCCACGCCCGCGCATCGCATTCCCCAAGACCCAAGTCCCAAGGCCCGAGCCCGACCCAACCCGGCGCGCGCGCGCGCGTGTGTGTGTGTGGAGTAACACTTACCTCCCACTCACTCAACTAAGTAGTGTTAAGACACTACAATATAAAAACAAGGAAAAACCTTTCCCCCCAACCAATGTGGGATTTTCCCCTTTCATTTGTTTTCTCTCTCTCTTGTTTTTTCCCCAACTCTCTTATTTTATATCAAGAACTTCCAACAATCCCCCACAGGTTCGAAGATATGAAAAAGAAAGGAAGGAAAAGATGAATTCTGGGCAAAACAAAACAATTGCATAAGTGTCAATGTCTCGTGACTTGAATTAACACATAGTGGACATCAAGCTATGATCCCTCACCTACCAAGTGACTTTCGTCTTGAACTCAATAGGGAGTTAGGGACCCGTCACTTTGAGCCACACAATTGAACATGTATAATATTCTGAAATTCCGCGAATAAAGGTGACGCATTATACTGACCATACGTCCAGCCTGGATGCTCATAGGTGCTCTAGAGGTGCTCTAGAGTATAAGCCCACGAAATAGGAAGCTGCCACACTTCCACACCTAAGTAGGTGAACTCCATCAAGTGTGAGCTACAACACACCTCTAAAAATATGGATGGGTTCATTAAGAGCCATATGCTCAACTTCCTTCTCATTTGTAGCTAAGCACAACAAACATCTAGAGATGGTCCAATAAAAATAAAAATGTGCTTCTGAATTATTATGTAATGTTCCCCTTTGAACTCATGGTGAGTAGGAGTTCACTATTTCACAATTCATACAACGGGCTTTTGCCCCATCTCTACCGATGTTTCCAAAACTAG